GGGCTCTTTGGTGGTCACTGCAGGTAGGGGGAGTTACTGGTATAGCTTGTTAGGTATTAAGAGATCCACATTTGTTGTGCAGACTCTAGTCCATCTTAATTAACATATACAAGATTCAATTCTCAGCTTTCTCCATATTTTAGAGCTACAGCTTTCCAAAATAAAGAGAAAACTTTGAATTTAGTCCTCATGTGAAACATTACAATAATTATAGAACATCATGAGAACATAGAAAGATTTAAGGTCAAGTAATTGCCCTTTTTAGCTTTCTAAAAACAGATGCAAATAAGCAACAACAACAAAACACCACTACTGTAATTTGACAGGGATTTCATAAACATTTAAGCCTTTGTGACATGAAAATAACAGCATTAGGAAGATCAGCATGTGAATTTTAAAATAGTTTGGGCATCAATGCTAAGGGAAGAAACGCTACCAAGTGTACCTGACCTAGGTTGTTGATAAATTGTTAACTCCTCCACAAATAACATATAATGATCTGTTTTCTTGGTTTTCTTGTTAGAATTTTCAGTAAAAATGTTGAAGGACAAGACTTGCTTTGGAAGGAATACCCTGACCTCGGTAGTGGTCAGCACTGTGCTGCTCAAAGTCCTCCTGAGCCTTCTGCAGACAGTCATGATCCCTGTACACAGGACTCCCCTTCATTAAACGAAAGTCAAGAATCTAACGTAAGCAAATGACTACTGAAGCCTCTTAATTAAAACAAAAATTTAAAAGCCTGTTTTAGAAACTGTCTTGAAAATTAAGAATTCATCATTACAAAAATTTAGTAAGAAAATCCAGTATAGAATTCTGGTAAGAATCAGGGCCTATAAGCCTGCATTCAATCTAGTACCACCACTAACTATAAACACTATCTCCATGTGTTACTTGTCAGTACAAATTTCCACCTACTCACCTCAGTACTGCTAAGTATTAGGAGAGGGGTTTCTCTGAAAATCAGCTTATGAAACAAATCTGATGAGCAGAATCGTAGTAAATGTTACTATTTTTTTTCTCCTCCTTATAAATTTTTACTTGTCTCCTCCTAGATCCAGTCGAACTTTGAGGCAAGTGTTTTCTACCAGTTCATTCTTAAAGTTCATGTACTTTTTATCATTATTGGTGGTAGTGCTGTAAAGTGTTGTCAACTGGGTTCCAACTCAGAGCAACCCTGCATAGGGTTTCCCAGGCAGTGAGTCTCACCACTGACCTTGAGGTCATCCTAATTAGGTGGTAGAAAAGAAGACCCATGTCTAGAATAGAGGGTGGAGATCACAGAAATTAAAAGATAAGGTGCAGAAAGGGAAGGAAATGTCAACAGGTATCTGATGGAATAGAAATGCAGATAATGAAGTATATATCAAACTTAAAAAACATTTTTAAGGCTGAAAATTAAAAACCAGTGACCTATGGCAGTGTATCCTGGCAGAGGCCAAATGAAAAAATTACTCTAACATTCAAGCCCAACACCTACTACGCGGGGATAAAGATGAAGCTTTTGGCTCCCACATAGATTTAAAGCTTCGGAAACCCAATATAGAGTCGCTAAGATTAAGAACTGACTCAGCGCATGATAACAACAAAGGTTGTTAAATTATTCTTGATCCATTCTGAGTTGCTAGATCAATGATATTTATACATAAAATAATAGAACAGTTATTATTACAAAATTAACATTTATAGATTACTTGATAAGTGAATTTAAACAAAATGCATAGTAGAAACTTAACTGAAGTGTTCTCCCTTTCAGTCTTTGTGGTGGGAACGAAGGGCTTTTCCACTGAAGGATGAAGACACAGCAGTCTTACTATGCCAAGATGAAAACTGCCATCAGACTGAAAGGTCAAGCACAGCTTTCCGTGGTGAAGTCTTCTATACCAGTACACCAGAGAATGGCCACCATGCAAAAAAGCCATCAGTAGATGGCATGGAAGAGTACAAAACCTTTGGTGTAGGACTTAGTTATGTTAAAAAAAATAGGTGACAGGGAACATGTTGGTTAAGAATACGATGTAACTGAAGACAATTTTTTTTACAGTCCTGTTCTTGGATCCCCTGTGCCTCGCAGTCACAATTCCAGAATTAAGAGCATGTACTGCATGTTAACATTCTTTTATGCTGTTTATGAAAAGGCAAGAGAAGTCTTTTTTCCTTCTTGAGCCACAGGAGTAACTAGCTTTCTACCTACAGACAAGTGCTAGTCATTTGCATTTATACACTAGCACCTGAGAAATTAACTGCTGCAAATTGATGTCAAATCACATTACTGGGTAAATGATTTTTAACATTACCAACGTGCACATACATATACTTATGGGTCAAATGACAACTATACATTTTTTTCTCTATACAAAATTAAAATAATCTTTACTTGAAAATGCATGTATGAATTACCCTGTGAAACTTTCATAAGCTCCATTATATATAAAAAAACTCTAAGTTTCCACTGACTTCCAAAAGTTTTGACTATGGAGAGGGAGGTGTTTTAATAACACAAAGCTTTAATAAAAAATGGAAGTTGTTTATAGAAATTCCTATATTAGATAATACAATATTCATTTATGTTAAATCACTGATTTCTGTTGGACTAACCACAGGCTATTTTTATTCACTCTTAACATTATAAAACAAACAATGTAGAATTAAATATTGACGCATTTTAAAAATGATCACATCTTTGAACACTCAACTTTGAGTCTTACCTACTTCATTTTACCTCTGACTGTGCTGAGAACTGTATTTCATGAAAAAAACACTAAAGTGAACAACAGGAAAATCATTTAAGTATAAACTAAAAACTATTATTATTCATTCCTTGCCATAGCTATTCAAACAACCATCTATTCCTACTGTCATCTTAGCGTGACATTTAAAGTACTTCAAAGAATAATACTTCAATAAGGAATAATGAGGAGTGTATGTTAGAGAAATTCCTTTGGAAGCTATTAGAACATTTTTTCTATATGAAAGTTGAAGACAATTTATATGAATCTTTGTTTTCTTATGTTATATATAAAAAAAGGTTATTCAAGTTGTCATCCCCATATAACTGACAATCTTGACCAACTGGGATCATTTATATGGGATTTGACACTAAATTTTTGTTAGGGATTAGAAATTATACTGGTCCCTTTAAAGGGAAAAATATTCAAATTTCATACTGACAAACTTCAGCTTGTAGTTTCATTGTACATTTATTTTTAAAGTAAAAAAAGCCAGGAAAAGCCAAGTTGTCCAGGCAAACTCTTATCTTTCTGTCACGTCTGATATTATAATCTTCTATGTAAGTTTTTTAATTAAAAGTTATTTCTATATACCTGGTGTTGTCTGGCTTGTTAAAACGCCACCTGTTCACGGTACCACCCTTTCCTAAGCCAAAATAAAAACAAACATTAAGAAACAAAAATTTACCTAGTAGTATTTTAAAAATAACAAGCAGGCTCCAGTCTATGCTTAAATATTAACATTCTTATTTTTCAAATGTTTCTCCAAGTTCATAGCAACCTAAAGAAGTTTAATGACACTGCTCCTATTATTTCCTGCATATTTTTAAACTGCAATAATGTAAGACTGACATAGCTGATTTATATCTGTTGTCTATATTTGGAGTAGTATAAAATGTAATTTATGAATAAATTCTGCACACCATGCCACCTGAAGCCACCTGTTATTTCTTCACAAATATCTATCTTTGGGGTCAATATTTATAGTTTCTGAAACAAATCTCAGCTACCTGGTTCTGCTGCAAGGTAAAGCTAGACCAAAAATATGGCAATGTTAAGTAAAAGAAGCTTCCTTTGCCTAGCCCACTTTTCAAGGACACCATTTTTAAAAGGAGTACAGAACAGAAATCCTATTTCATATCGCACCCTTTGCAGTCCTGTTGTGATACCACTGTAGAATAAGCACTGGACTAGTAACCACAAGGTTGGCAGTTCAAACCCACCAACCACTATTGGGAAACCCTATGCAGGGTTTCCGTGAGTTAGAACCTACAGCACTAACAACAAAAACACTGCATTCTTCAAAGGGTACCAGCCTTTTGTGGAGCTTTTACTGTCTTCATTTTTTAAAAATGGGGACATTGTCCTGGAGCACTGGTGGGCTGTAGAATAAGCACTGGACTAGTAACCACAAGGTCAGCAGTTAAAATCCACCAGTGCTCCTGGAGAGAAAGGGAAGGCTGTCTGCTCCTGTAGAGATTTACAATCTGGGAAACTATATACAGGGTGTTTCGAGTCCTGGTGTAGTACTCCATGACAAGCAAGGTCAGTCTGAACTGCAGTGATGTCACATTCAAATCCACCAGCCTACCCTCAGAAACCCCATATGGGGTCGCTATGTGTCGGAACCAACTTGATGGCACAGAACAACAAACATGAGTCGGGACTGGCTTGATGGCAGTTAACCATTCATAAGAGATTTGTAGACTGAATGAGACTATGTCAAAGAACTCTTTAAATTATGTAAGTTTTACTTTTCCTCTCACCTCAGACAATAGCATGATTTCATGTTCTTAAGAGTAGGGTAGGTGGGATTCAAAAGGAAAAACATCCCTAAATGACCGACTTCTCCCACAGAGCTGGCCGAGAAAAGGCCCTTTTAAAACCAGACCACCTAAAAATCCCAGGACTTCATCAATTCTTTTTTTTTAATAGGTTTTATACATCAAGTATAAGGTGAAAAATAGGTTATTTTAGACTCAATAGCTATTTCAGACACAAGCATATTTGATCTTATCCCACCTACATCCAATCTTAGAGAAATTTCATAAATTCCATTCTAATCATATTATCAAGCATATACATAAATCACAAATAAATGAAACAGAAAAAACAAAATAACTTCCTTTGCTTTTGCAAAACAGCTGAGAAACAACAGAAATTTTTTGTTGGAAATACAGAAAAAAATCTTTTTTCACAGTATCTAATATGCCTTCAATGGCATTAAAACACATTTGCTTTGTAACCTTAATACAGTCATTATTTTTACTCTTTATAAAAACCCAACCTCAGTAAAAACTGGGTATTGACCACACTAATCTTGAAGTCTCATCGCTAACAATGTAGGTAAAATATAAACAGCAGTAACCTCTTAGCACATTCTTCAGTAGGACTTGTAGTCAGTGGAATGGATCACTGCTCAGAGCAGCAGCACTGCCTCCGCCGGCCTATGAGTCGCTCGTCAACATTCCTGTTTTCCAGTTAAAAGGCGGTTTCATGAGCAGAGACATGGGTCTGCTTGAGCTTTCATCGATCAAGAGAACGTTTCTGAGCAGCTTCTGAGCAAACATTTCTTAACAAGTTGATGACAGATCTGGGGTCTTCACTCCTCATAATGGCACTGCCAGACACAATCATGTTAGCTCCTGCCTGGAAGAAGCAAACACTTAGGTTATGCCTAGAAGGAAGATGCAGAAGATTCTCAAATAAAATTCCTGGACTGGAGTTTCCAACCCTTCCATCTGTCAGTCTGCACTTTACTTATACAAATCCACTTTGAGGTGAATAGAATACTTAAATCAATCCAGTTCAACAAAGAAAGTACAACAACAAAAACTAAAATTATGTGCAGATATACATGTATGTTTATATATGTGTGTGTATATAACAGGGGGCCTCAAAACATTTGTATAATAATGAAATAGGAAGATAATGGAATTTTTCCACAACCTTTTAGAAGTCCCCCTGTGTTATGTATATGCAGGTAGATATGTGTGTGCTTGCATATGTAGTCATATATACAATAAAGCACATGGGAGATACACTTACAGATAACTTCTTAAGACACAACCAAGCACCTCACAGGATTACTTTTCTGGATTTGAAGGTTTAGGACCCTAGGCATTGTGGGGCATCTTAGTTAATTAGCATAATCTAATTCATAACATTTGTACATCTTAGCCTGCTGAATAGTGTCTGGGGTCTTGAAAGCTTGTAAGCGGCCATCTAAGGTACAATTATTGCTTTCCACTAGCCCAGGGAGCGCAGTGGCTCTATACCATTAAACAATGGATTGGAAGCCACAATGTCTGCAGTTTGAGCCCACCAGCTCAAAGAAATCAAAGAGAATAAAGCAGAATAAAGATGAGGCTTTCTGCTTCCTTGAAGATCTGAAAACTTGGAAACCCTAAACAGGGTTGTTATGAGTCGGAACCGACTCAACAGCACTTAGTCCGGAGGAAAAGAGAAAGAAGGAAACCCAAGATTCAGAGAAAATAATTAGTCTACAGGCCTGTCTACGTGAACCATGGTCTCATCTAGCCTGAGACCAGAGGAGCTAGATGGTGCATGGCTACCACTATAATTCATTCTGATCAGAGCTCCAACAGATGGAACCTGATAGAATGGGAGAAAAATGTGGCACAGAACCTCATGTTCTTAAGAGATCCAGACTTTTCTGGACTGTTTAAGACTAGACTCCCTGAGTTACTGTCATGAGAAAAACAAAAAAAAACTATTCACTGAGGTCACTGTTTAAGAAGATAGATTAGCTCACAAAATAATATTACATATGAGTACTGTGGCCCTTTTAAAGGATCACCTATATATGAGACCAAATGCTCAACAATTATTTTAAAACAATGATGAGCAGACAAACTAGATTACTGGAAATGGAACCAGAACTAAAACACTAGAACAAACAATGTCCATGCATTGTATGAAGAATGCAGCCAATGTTACAAAAGCATGGACTAAATAATCTGTGTAGAAATTGTTAAATGGGAAGCTACTGTGTTGTGAAAACACTATCTATGAATAAGTCCTGATGTGGCACTGTAGGATAAGCACTGAAACACAGGGTCGGTTTGAACCATGAGGTCGGCAGTTCAAACTCACCAGTCGCTTTTTAGAAACCACAGGGTTGCTATGAGTCACAACTGTCTCGATGGCACTCAACAACAATATATATATTTGTTGTTGTTGAGTGCCATTGAGTCGATTCCAATCCATAGAGACCTTGTATAGGGTTTCGGAGAAGCAGCTGGTGAGCCTGAACTGCCAACCTTGTGGTTCAAAGCAACTTTGCAGTCTAGAGCATTAACACACAGTGATGTGTGTGTGTATATATATTATGATAGTATATGTATATATGTGTGTGTGTGAAATAAATTTTAAATCTGTATTAAAATCAATGACTTTATTGGTAATCCAGTTTATAATATTTAGATAACAAATTTAAAATTTTTTATTCTTCAAATCTATTAAGGCCAATATATACCAAAGTCCATTTCTCAGCTACTTAAAAAACAAAAGTGGCCATGTTTTAAATTTTGAATTATGTATGTGATTTTTCAGAGTCCTGGAGTGATGCTGTATGATACACGCTGGACCACAAGGTCAGTTTGTACCACAAGGTCGGTGGTTCAAACTCACTAGCTGCTCCTCCGAAAACTTAAACAGGGTCGCTATGAGTCAGAATGGACTTGAAGGTACTTAACAACAATGTAAATTTGTAAGTATTCTTAAAGATTAATTCCCACTAAGTTGTGAACCTATCCATAAAGTATGGCAATAAGAAATTTAATGCCCGAAAAAACAGCATTTCTCTCTGTTTCATCATATTCCAGAATGGTTTTAAGATAGCTTTAAAATAATTTCAAGATGATATTTTTAAATGTAGAAGCAAAGAAATCAAAGAAAAGCATGGACTCAAATTTAGCTCTAAGCTTCCTAGAATTAGACTTGAGGGAAACCCAATCTATTACAATTTGCTGCCAGAAGGAGAAGCAGAGAGAAGCAATGAAGTTGAGGGAAATTTCTGCAGTGAAACAGACAGGCACTTCAGCACAGTGCACATCTCTGACAGCAAACCTCAGAGAAGATCAGTTTTCTAGATTTACCACTGAACCTGTCCCTTAATTTGAGCATAGTAAAGCACAGTTCAATAAAAAGCAGTATCAAAAGGACATCTGGTATTTGGTAAGCTTCTGCCTCCACAAATAATTACCACAGCCAAGCTTTTAATAAGCTGGCAGTTTATTCAAGATTTCAAAGTGTAGGGAAAACTATACTGGTGAATAAATGTAGGCTTTGTGAGTTTTAATCACCCACATTGCTACTGCAAGGTCTAGTGTCTTATGATGCTCAGGAGCATAACCTAGAAACCTGAAAAGCTCTACACAGAGGGAGGCCAAAGGGGTATCCAGAGATCAAACCCAGATTTTTGTCTAAAATGATTCTAGTCAGTTCTTATGAGGAACAGATGGATAACTAACACAACTAAGTTGCACCAAGTACTGTGGTAATTGAGTGAATTAAGATGAATTTTTCTCCTTTGTTAAGACAATATCATATCTTACCCTGTTTTGAAAATAACTCTCACACCATCATACCATGGGTCCTGGAACTTAATGGTATTCCAGAGGGCTGGCATTTAGCATATCATTTAAACAACAACTTTATTCAATTACTGATGAGCAAACTGGGACTTCTAGCCCTACATTTGACCTTAAAGAATGTCCTGGACAATACACTACACGAGAAATTGGTCTAGATCACAGCTGAGGAGCAGTCTCACCTCTGCACACTTATGGATAGTGTCAGGACCTACACCACCATCGACCTCAATGTCCAAAGACGGGAACTGGGTCCTCAACCAATGAACCTAGACATACACAAGGAAATAAGTAGATGGCGGGGCAGGGGTGGGGAAACACACAACATAACCAAATAAACAAAAACCAAGGCGCCGACATTAGACCCTAGAACATGCCTCTCCAAATGTCTCACTCACTCCACTTTACTGTATATCAATATATAAAGTATTATTGGGGGAACCTTAATTATTAATGTTCCCAAAGAAACTAAGTTTTATAAAAGCAACCTGTTTTGCAAATGGCATTTAACTTGTTATGGTCAACAGAGAATACGCCTCATAAAACAAGACATTAACCATTGCCTGAATATTCATGAAAATTCCCAAAAGAGCTAAAGGTTACAGAGATACGAGTCTTGAAAGAAAATTTCAAGATAAAGATAAATTATATTTCTGATTTCCCAAACCTAAATCTCATACAATCAAAGCATTCCCGTTTTTGTTTTTTTTTATACCTTGGGCATCATGTCCTCCATGAATTTCTGCCCTCCAAAGCCAGGTTCCACTGTCATCACCAAAGCCATATCAATCTGATTAGCCCACGGTGCCAAATACTCAACTGTAGTTCCTGGTTTGATTGCAAGGCCAACCTAAACAGAGACAAATTAACTATCAAGGGAATAATTAACTCCATGTTATATATTGTGACTTATCATGCCCAATAGAAAATTTCTATTCTTACAGAAAATAAATAAATACGTAAAAGAATATCTAACTGTTCAGAGCATAACCTTAAAGACAAAGAACCAACAAGGCTATCAAATTTAAATGTTTCAAAAGGCAGTAATTTTTAGAAAAAACTAGTGGAATAAGTAAATCCTATGAAGTGGCACTATAGGATAAAGCACTGGGCTGCTAACAAAAAGGTCAGTGGTTCAAACCCATCCATATGCCGCTCTTCGGAAACCCTATATAGGGTCACTATGAATCAGAACCAACTCGATGGTAGTTAGTAGCAGCAACGAGTCTGATAGTAAATCAAACTTAAGCTCTGGCTTTGCAGCTGAAGAACAGCTGCCTGAATCTCTGCTGCCTGTACTTGCCTGTCATCTTTCAAATCTTCCAAACTGAAAGGAAAGAGTATAAACTTTTACCAATCATCACCGATTTCTCACCTTCATCCCATTCTCACGAATGTCTTTAATCAAAGCTCCTGGGTTCTCAGTAGCCTCAAGATGAAAGGTATATTGATTGGCCCCTGCAACAGCCATCGGCTTTACCCACTGTTCTGGCCTGGACACCATCATATGCATATCTGGAAAGAAAAGACATGTCTCCTAAATAGTACTGAATGGAAAATATCTGGATCAGATTACTAAAGACTGTCTGGAATTGTTATTTCAGATATAAACTCTTCTGGCATGAAAATATTAGATAAACAGTTTTACTTACTGATCTTGCCTCCTTTCATCCTGAAGACAAAGTATTGGTTGGATATTTATGAAAAAAACAACAGTTTCCACAAAAAGCATATAGTACTTTGTATGAAAATCAACTTTTTTGTTTTTGCTGGAAGTCAAACTATATTAAACAAACAGACAAAATCCAGTATTATAGTACTAAACTAAGATTATAAAATGTGATGACTTTAAAAAATATCAAGGAAAGAGAATACACAGCATGCCGCCTAATGAAGTCAAGATTAAATTTTTTATTTCTAAGCCAGCAAAATAACTAAATTAGAACACACTTAAATAGATAAAACGTTGTTTCTTTGTATTATAGCTAACTTTTATTTGGGTTCATAATTTCTAAGTTTATTTTAAATGACAAGGAAATTGTAATTTAGTCTATTTAGCTTACTCACTCCTTAGGTTGGCTATATCAACCTTACTCAATCTCTACTATGCACAGCCTCCAGCAACGCTTTTTAGAGAATTCCAACAATGTTTAGGGAGTTACTGGTTCAGCAAATTCTACCTGTATCAATATCCCAAATGTTCTACTCTCCGGCTAGCATCACACTTTAAAAAATTACTGAAAATCCCCAAATGCTTTTGCTGATGTGTTAAAAATTAAAGCTAAGAAAAACTTTAAATGTACAACCAAAGATTGTAGAAAGATTAGTAGAAAAATACAGAACAAAATTCAAAATCATGAAAAAGACCAAATTTATTAATCTGACAGAGACTGGTGGAACCCCAAGATTATGGCCTTCAAACTTGGAATTAAATCCATCCCCCTGGAATCACCTTTCAACCAAACAAAAGACAGGCCTATAGTGTGACCAATAAAACCCATGAGGAATATACTCTAGACAAGACCCAAAGAGCAGCATTTGCTCAAAATCAAAGCTCAGAAAGCGAGGATGAATGGACACAGGAAACTCAGGAGGAAGGCCCTGCAGTTAATGTCACAAAATAAAAAGCACAAAAAGTGCTGCATGGAACACTAATTTGCACTTTAAACTTTCACTTAAGCCACAATAAAATAAATGAATAAAAAACCATATTGTGGTCCATCTTCCCAGTAAAATGCTGTTGTTGTTGTTGTTAAGTGCCATCGAGTCGGTTCCGATCCATAGCAACCCTGTATACAGTTTCCGAGGAGCAGCTGGTGAGCTTGAACCACCAACCTTGCAGTTCAAATGGCTTTGCAATCTGGCGCATTAACCCACAGTGCCACACCATCCTGCTCAGTAATAAAAACACATGAACTACTGATGCAGGTAATAACATGGATGAATATCAAATTATGTATGCTAAGTAAAAGAAGCCATTTATATGACATTCTGGAAAAGACAAAATTATAGTTGGAAAAAACGATTTTCGTGGCCAGGAACTGTAACAAGCTGGGGTAAGAGACTGACTACAAAGACACAAGAAGTGATGGATCTGTTCTATATCTTGATACACGACTGTAAGCATTTTCCCAGACTCACCAAACTCAACAGACTGAAGCTGACAAAATGCAATTATATATTAATAAAACAATGGAAACAATATATATTTTAAAACTCTTAACTATCGAATTCATAAAAGGTGCCCTGGTGGCACAGTGGTTAAGCACTCAGCAATTAAACCTGAGCCCAGCAGCAGCTCTGCAGGAGAAAGACGGTAGTCCATAGATGGCTTCTAGGGACATCTACAAGTTAGAAAGCCTATAGATAGTTCTACACTGTTCTACAGGGTTGCTAAGAGTCAGAAATAACTGGACAGCAGTGGTTTGGGTTCTTTGGTTAAGTTAATTCATTTATAATAATAAAAATAATTCTGTTAATCTACGAAGCACTAATATTAGAGGGACACTGCTTCACATTATTGCATGTCTCTAGTGTCTGGCATGGACTCTCGGTGTGACACAGTAGGATCAGCACTGGACTGCGATCCACAAAGCTGGCAGTTCGAGCCACCAGCTGCACCTCAGAAACCCTATGCAGGGTGGCTATGAGTCGGAACCAACTTAACAGCACTTAACAACAACAGTGTCTAGTGTGGCACTGTATAATAAGCACTGGACTGCTAACCACAAGGTCACTGGTTCAAAGCCACCAGACACCCCTTCGGAAACCATATTATACAAGGTTGCTACGAGCTGTAATGGTTTCAAAGGCACTGAACAACACACAACTGTTTGGCTTTACAAAACAAACATGAATGCTCATATCTGCTCTGCATTAAATATATTTTAATGAAGGGAGGAGAAAAGTACACAGAGAAGGATTACTTTAATATTTAACAGTCTTTCAGATAAATGTGGGTGCCCTGATTTTGCACCAAAACTTAGCAAGTGGTGGTTTAAAAAAGTTGGCTGTCCCACTTGGGAATGGGTTGTTTGTTATGTCAGTGAGACATGATAAAGCTCTGGTGTGTTTTGAGCCAAAGGAGCCCTGGTGGTATGTGGATTAAGCACTTGACAGGGAACTGAAAGGTCAGTACTTCAAACCCACCAGCTGCTCACAGCAGAAAGGTGAGGCAATCCAATTCCATAAAGACGCACAACCTCAGGAACCAAATCCCACAGGGCAGTTCTACTCTGGCCTTTAGGGTCACTGTGAGTCAGATTCAACTGGAAGGTAGTAAATTTGAGTTTTACCTTGAGTCCACATCTTTTAATAAATAAAAGAGATTAAAAAGGGAGAAGAGAAATGGGGGCAAAACAAATGCCAAGAAGCAGGAAGCTCTACAAGAAACCTTCAGGAAGCAGAAGCTGACAAGACATGGACCTTCCTCAAGAGCTGAGAGAGAGAACAAGCCATCTCCTAGAGCGGGCACTCGGAATTCGGACTTCTAGCCTCCTACATAAATGTTGAAATGCTGGTTGATAAGTAGAACTGTAAACCCTATCAGTTACCTTTTGTACTCTGTAGCACCATAATCCATCTGTCCAAATGACACTGTAAAATCGATCTTTTCAGTATTGGTTCACTGAGTGACACAGATCTAAGAGGTAAAACACTTCATCCTCTATTCGTCACAAATCACACGTGTTACAGTACTAAAGATTATATCAGAAAAGCTCTAAATACTGGGAAGCTGTCACATTCATGATGGCAGAGACAAGTTTTCCAGAAGCTCTGACTGACAAATTATTTTTCTTGAAATAACAGAGTATCTTTGTTCAAAATAAAGAAAACATCAGTATAATACCTATTCTTTCAAGTACAATCAGTATTCCATGAAAATAGCAGCTAATTCTATTCACAAGTCGAACAATGGTACATCTATCTAGTTTTCCTTAAAAAAAAGCATCCTATCTATGGCAGTATGCAGAGGGGCTTTCTATGAATGTTCTGTTTTGTCCTAAAGAATTTCAAAGATTCAAAGGCAAGGATCAAGACTGAATAAGATGAATAGTTGGTTTTCTTTTACCAGGATCCTGAATGCAAATGCATGGCAGTGATAAATATATATATAGATAGATAGATAGATATAGAGCTATAGATAGATATAGCTATCTATATCTATCTATAGCTCTATATCTATCTATCTATATATATATGTTGTTGTTGCTATGTGCCGTGGAGTCGGTTCTGACTCATAGTGACCCTGTACAGGGTTTCTGAGGCTGTAAATCTCTATGGGAGCAGAAAGCCTCATCTTTCTCCTGCAGAACAGCTGGTAGTTTCGAACTGCTGACCATGAGATTAGCAGCCTGACTCATACAATACGCTACCAGGCCTATGTTGTTGTTGTTAAGTGTCGTCGAGTTGATTCTGACCCATAGTGACTCTAAGAGCAGCTGGTGAGACTTATATTAAATTTAAATAGACAGATGGCATATTGTTGTTGTTATGTGCCATGGAGTTGGTTCTGACTCATAGCGACCCTGTACAGGGTTTCCAAGGCTATAAATCTTTACAGGAGCAGAAAGTCTCATCTTTCTCCCGCGGAAAAGCTGGTAGTTTCGGACTGCTGACCATGAGTTTAGCAGTCCGATTTGTAACCAGTACGCTACCAGAGCTCCTTAGACAGATGGCTAGTATCTACCATATTGAGCAATGCGGCAATAGTATTTCATAAAGTTGATCTACAATATCCTAATTTTTTAAATCTATTTTTTACTAAAACCCAATAATTACATAAAAATACGTATTTATAAAAATTTGTTCAATTTTTCTTGTGTAAGAGATGTGGCAACTAGGGCATTGCTAACTTAGTTTAAAAACAACAACAGAGCTGTGTGCTTTTAACTTAGTTTAAAAAAATAACTATTTCATGTGAACATAGTTTAAACTTTTATACTGTAATTCATAACCTCCCAAGACAGATGCTGTGATGCTGAAGCAGAGCATGGAGGCTTCACCTGTGGAAAGCTCTCCACCCATTTGAGTGAAGTAGATGACTTCCAGATGATAAAACCAATTAATTGATTCATATACTTACTAATTATATTGAATCCCACCATGTGCCTGTGCCTAGCTCTAGGAAAACCACAGCAAAGGTCAATTAAATCCCACCCCTCATGAAATTGATGTTGTTGGTAGGTGCCTTTGAGTCAGTTCTGATTCATAGCGACTTTTGTATTGAGTCTGTATACAGTTTCCAAGGCTATTATAAATCTTTAAAGAAGCAGAAAGCCTCATTATTCCCCCATAGGACAATTGGTGGGTTTGAACTCTGGACCTGTGTGACTAGCCGCTTAGTGCTTACCCTACAATGTCACCATGTAATTTACAGTCTGATCAAAGTAATTTCAGGTTGAAGGAAGTTCTAAGAAAATCAACAAGGTGGTATAACGTGCATATCATTTAAGATAGGGTATTTAGAAAAGTCTGAGACCAGGGCAGGTTATCTGAGGCAGAAAGAAGCAGCT